GCACTCTCGACGGGCCAAGAACAAAGACTTTGGCAGCTGCGACAGTGACAGCGGCGAAAATAAAAATATGTACATACAGTCAAACATACGTACGAACAGAGTTCGGGGGGCTGGGGGCCACCCGCCATTGAGAAAATTGCATTAAAATCTATGGAGTGTGCATAGAATGCGGAGGATGTTCCGCCCAGAAAGGACTAAGGACTAGTGCCGGGTGGTGCCAGAGTGTTGGATAGTTTCAGTTTTTCGGAACTACGAAATGGCGAATTCGTGAAAAATTAAAGGAAAAAGGATATGACGCCACATTGCAACATGAACGCAAAATTGCAATTTTATTATATTTTAACAATGCACTTCGTTACGTGATTCCCGCCAGGAATTGTCCTCCTCTCCGACGCAATCCAAGTGAAGCCAAGAGACAAACTCTTACCTTATACCCCCATCTACAGATTTATACATTTATATATACATACCGTTTTTATTTTGGTGGTTTCCCTGATGGTTTTATGCATGCAATCTGAATGGAGGACAAATTCACAGTTAACAGTCATATTTTATTGAGTTTTTGTGAATTGTAGTCATAAATTCATTTAGTTTGTGCATGAGGAAATGCATTTCGCATGCATTTGTTGTGAAGCAAATGTGCTTTCTGAGATTTATTTCGGGTCGAATAAATGAAGACATGTCGGAAAGGAAACAAAATACATAAATACTATTAATGTTGAAGAATTTGAAGAAATTTAAAGAAGTTTATTCCTACTTTGCGATCTTTTAATTAGGTATAACTTAAAGTTTACAACCAATAAATTTTCACATCGCTCATGTCATTTTTGTCAGGACATGTGCTTAGACAAATTTAGACCATTAATTTAAAATATGCAATTCATTTGTTCAAAAACAAATTGCTCGGAATGGGCCAGGCAAAATGATTGCTAGCTGTCGGCCAAAGAGTTTTCCTCTCTCTTCGGATGCCAAAACAATGACAGCCGTAAATAATACGTCTGTCCTGCAAAGGCCTGTTAAGACTTCTTGTGGCTTTCCCTGCTTGCTTTTCATTTACGCTGGGAAAATATTATTTACACTTTATGATTTCTTTATTTAGCACTAATTGCTGCCTTTATTTTATGTTTAAGCTCTGAGCTTGGCCTTTGCCTTCGGCCAGTAAAATGAAATGCTTGAAAGGGAAGCTCAGTAATAAGAATAAGGAAAACAGGTCAAGATGAAAAAACAGGACAAAGGAAACCAAATAAATAAGATAGAAAACCTGCGAACTTTGACAAATGAAAGGAGAAGACTTTTCTTACTTTTAATTTGCTAAGAAAAATTACTATTTAAAAAATAATTAAAACTGAAATAGTAGAGAAATATTTGAATATGAACTTATTTAATAAGAATTAAGATATTGACTTATTAATTTGCCTACCAGGTTTTTCTTTCAATAGATGCTACTTTTTGACAGCTGTCACATACAAGTCCTTCGTGATGGATTCCCAGACAACTCTGAGTGATCTCCAACACACACAGCCACACATTCCTGCACACACTCAGACATGTGTGTGAGCGTAGTCAGATAATATCAGAAAGTTTTCCGTTCCTTGGATTTATTTTTATGCCTTCTGCCTTAGCATATGCTTGTTTATAGCCACTGCTGCTTTTGCCACATTGCTTCCTTTGCCTTTTTTGCTCGTGTTGGTTCTCTTCTTGAGCGTGTAAAGTTTATTTTTGTTACTTATTATTATTATACTGGAGCCGCTCCTTGTTGGTCCTTCTCCTTATTATGCGTCAGTCTCCGTTCGCGTCCGCGCTTGTGTGTGTCTGTGTGTGTGTGTTCTGTATCTGTGTGTGTTGCTGTGTACTTATTTTCCGTAATTAATTTCGTGCTTCGAAACATCTGCAGCTGGATTTTTACTGCATCCGAAATTACGCATACGCCCCATGTAATGCAGACTTGATGGTTTGCTTTCAGCAGCAGCCACAATTTCGCGAGAATGTAGCTGCAAACGACTTCGTGTTTGGCTTAAAGCGCTTCGCCCTCCGTCACAATAAAAATGCCAATTTGTTAGGCAAAATTTAAGGCTGTTAAGAAATATTTGCCAACTAGACAAGCCAACCGGCGCAGACAGACGGCGGCAGGGAAACCGTGGTGGTACACACACAATTGACACAACGAATTCTTGAAAATTGTATAGGCAAAATACCGAGAACGAAGCTCAACTGCACCACACGGCGTATGTGCAATGCACCGTGGCGGGTGTCGGTGGATCGGGAATAGGAAGTTGCTCAACTGGGAATGCCACAGACGACGACTCCGACGACGTTCCACATGAACAGTCGTATTCGGTTTGGGCAATATGACTTTGAATTGATGCTTTTGTGACTATAACTTAAGTTGGATTTTAATAGCAAGTTAAAGTTTCACGTTTTTTAAATTATTATTATTTAAATGAAATCCAGAAATTATAATATTGTTCAGGTACTTAATTTAGGGAAATTAGTTATAAAAATAAAAAAACAAAGCAAGTAATTAAGAAGTAAATTAGTTTTTCGAGCTACTTGTCTTATTGTTATTAGCAATGCAAGGTAATCTTTAACATTAAATATTATTCACTCATTTAACTTCATTTAAATCTTAACCTAATAGAACTAAACCACTTTCTATTATGATTAGTAATCCCGCTGAGCGAGAGCTCAACCGACAGTCGCTCAATCTGAACATTTAGCCCGGCTCAACTTAAGTTTCATCCGCAACTGCATTTGCCTATGTGCCACCGCAATGTCGCGTCGCTATAGAGTAAACAAACCGCTGGGAAATGGGGGGAAAAACGAGTGGGAGGCTGAAGAAAACTGCCACCGATGTATACTTGCAGGTAGCTATCCTCGGCAGATTGCCTGAGCAGCTTAAGCAGCACAGAAAACTTTATTTTTGGTGTTTGCCCCGTGGGCAAATCTTTTTGCTTTACTCCCGATTTCGACTCTCGAGCGGCAGGCATAAGCTGAAAGGTGTCGGCCAAAAACGAGTGAGTGCCGCAAATCAGAAGAAAATTTGCCAAACGGCAACAGTTCTGAGGATAACTAATCCACTCACACACTTCACACTTCAATTTCCGCCTGGTTTTCTTACCTGTCTCATGGCCGGGTGAAAATTCAAAGTTGTTTGTTATTGCCGCTCGTTATTGTTGCCATGTTCCATGTCGTTTTCCATTTCGATTGTGTCACTAACATGTTGCGCTCCCACAGGCACTGGGGCAGTGGGCGTGGCATTGGCAGTGGCATCGGCAGCGGCCAATGATTTGAGGAGTGCGCCCGGGCAATTTCACAACGGGCACGTATGCAAACAGTGGCCAAAAAGTGGGCGTTGTTACGCCAGCTCCTCGAAATGGGAATGTGCCAAACTGTCGGCTGCAATTTTGTCGGCTGGTTGCTACAGAAAAACGCATAACCAGAAAAAATCAGACAAGAAATTCGCTAGATTTTTACGACTTTGAGATACCTTCGATTATTTACTTCGAAGTCCTTAAAGATTATTTAAGATAATAAATTCATTTCTAAATTAATTTTCCTTTTATATACAAGCTAAGATACCAATATAGATATTTAAGAGAAAACATAAATATTATTTGGGTATGTATTTTACTATATTTAAAAAGCTAGAACAAAACAAGAAGTAAATTATATTTTTTTCTACATCTTGATGAGGGTGTTTTCCAGTTGCAAGAAGATAAAAGGAGTTTCCTAAGCAAATTCTTTCGACTCTGCGTTTTCATCTCTTACCGATTCGCAATTCGCCATTCCAAATATGCCCGTTTTTACGATTTGGAGTAGCGGGTACACAGGCAGACATTGTTGCCCAAAGAACTACAATATGACAAATTCAGCTGCGAGTTTCGTCTCCTTGGGCTTCTGGCAGAGCGAGGAGAATAATGGCCGTGCCCTCAGTACAATTTCCGTTGCATCCTCTCCTCGACATTCGAACAAAAAATCACTCCGGGCATTGGGAGAGGGCGAAGGGAAGATGAAGGCTGCAAATCTATGCCTAACTACAAAGTACGCAAAAATCGGAACTGGTTGCAGATTGAGCTGTTGCCAAAATTTCGGGGATTCACGACTACTTCACTGCCTCAAGGGTGAATGCAGAAGTGGTTGATGGAAACGCATTGAAATTGCGATTAGATTTACAGGGACTTTCAAACAGATGTTCGCTTAATTTGATTCTTTTTACTAGACGCTCTTCAAATACTCTAGCTTTTTTACTTTAATGTTGCTGGGTAATTGTTTAAATATTTTAGCCCTGCAAACAATTTGGACCCTCTGAAATATTCCTCGGGGGCAAACAATTTAGAACCCAACCCACACGAAACTTAACATATTTATAATGCCCACTAACGTTATGAAAATGCATTTTTCGACTGTCCCCACGACAATGAGAATGAGAAACGAGTACAACAGCAGCAAGGAAAAAATGCCCGACTTCTGGCATAAAATATGACACGTTGAAACCGTTTTTCGCAGCATTTGTGTGGCATTTAATTAAATGCATTTTTATTTTTTTAAATTTCACCCAACGCCACATAAAATATGCGAACAAAAAAAACAAGGGCAGGGACCACAAGAAACAGGTGTGAAGGAGAGACACTGCAAAAAGGTGTTAATGGTGACTATGAAATTCCATTTGCATACACGCTCAACTTACAAAAAATAATACACCAAAAGCATAGTTTCTAAAAAAAAAGCGATAATTTTTAATGCAATTTTACCTTTTTTTTTCGCCGTCGTGTCTGAGTTTTTTGCCCCTTTCGGCTAAGTAATGGTAATTAGGTGTGGAAAAATCCATTAGCCAAGGCCCGGTCAGAAATAGTCGCCAGAACAGAAGCCAAAACCCTTCTAAGGCCATTCTGTAGAACTTCAATTCGAAATTTGCCAACAAAATCGTTACCCATTTCCTAGATTTGTTGTTATTATAAAGAACACTTTTTATTATTTAAGTTTAATTTACTTTAATTTTCTTCACATTAGGATAAGAAGAAACATTGTCTTTTATAAAACAAATCAAGTACGTAAGTTTAAGTGTCTGGGCGCCACATCCACTGCAATATCATCTTTTCGAACAGCAAATGTACAAACAAACCGATGATAAAGCCGCAAAAGGCCAGATAAATCACCAAGTCTATTCTGAGTCGATCTTGGTCCAGCCTGTCCTCGTCCTGAACTACTTCCACTGTACTCCTTCCGAAATACAAGCAGACCACCGTAATGGTGATGGCTGCCTTGCAGACCCACACGGAGGTGCGTTCAAATCGGTTCAGGACGACCCCGCCAACGCTACTCTGCCAGGGTCCCGTGATCGGATTGATCATGAACCAGCTGACGAACAGCTGCTCCATTCGGGTCCTCAGGCGCTGGCACCACGTGTACTTCGGGGACTTCCGATAGCCGCCCATCGTAAAGTACTTGGAGCGCATGAAGTGCGTGTGCCGCCGTCCAATCCAATCGTTCACGAGGAACAGCTGCTCATGGTTATACGTCAGATCGACGACCGTCACGGATCGACAGAACCACGATGGATACCGGCCATTCCTGTCGGTGCCCAGGGCCAATCGGGTGGGTATGTAAATCGAACCCCTGGGCACCCTCAGTTGTATGATGCTGTTTCTCAACAGTTGCGGTCGCCCGGGATCCTGGGTGATTTGGTACGATGTCTGCTGGCGATGCGGTGACTTGAAGTAGAACTTTACATTGGAGGTGGTTCCCGCAAACTCCTGAGCTCCGGTTGCAACCACAAGAAGTATCTCTGCTCCACCATCGAGCTGATGGAGTGATTGAGTTTTCTTGATAGAATCGCACTCCATAAACGAAGGTTGCCTTAGATGGGCCATAATGAAGTCCGCAGAGAAAACCAACTGCGCGACGATCAAACCGAGGAACAAAAAAAATACCACCAGTATATAGGCGTAGAAAAAGAATACGGGAGTGGGAACGTACTCCACATAGAGCTCCGCTGAGATGGGGTAAGTCCGGGAGGCCAAGGTGCCCAGGGTGTGGCAAGTGCACTGAACCGATGACCCATAACTACTCTCAAAAGTGGTGGTGCAGTGGTCCTCACTCCAGCCGGGATCCAGTGAGCTGTTCTTCCAGAAGTTGCACTGGTAGATCTCCATCAGTATCGAGTAGTTCAGAAACCGATCGTCATCATCTTGGTCTTCGTTGTCGTAGCTCACTTGTCTTCGCATCCGCGACTTAGCTGCTCGGTCTGGGTCACCTGGCCTGTGAATGGAGACAAATGCCCGGCTTTCTTTGCACGAATTGGACAGCCAAATGCGTCGGCCCCCCATATCGGGATATATGTGACAAGAGCTCTGCTCAATCTCCTTTAACGATGGCCACTTGTGCAAGCGCAACTTGACGTACATCAGCTCCGTACAACTCACTATTCGCACCGCCAACATGGCCTTGGAGTTGAGTATCAGTCTGTAAATGTTGATCTGCGTACCATTTGCAATGCTGCCATTGGCCATCCACCGCGTGAAGGCGAACTGATCGTTGAACTGCGTGATGTTCGTCTTGAATACCAACGGATTCTCTAGCACGGACTCCTCTTCCGACTTGTAATACGTCTCGGGACTGAAGGCATGGACGATTAGCACACTGGTCCTCGCGGGCAGGGGCTCCGGGTACCACCAGAAGATATTGTGATTATTCTGCTGCGAGATCGTCTGGAAGAGAATGTCGGTGTGCTTTAGGTCTGCCTTTAGTTCCAGGAGCAGCGCCACCGACACCTCGACAGTGTGGCTGTTGTCCATTGTGGCCATGGTGATGGGTTGTACTCTGTCTGCTACCTCGGTTACGTTTATCTGGAGGTAGGAACAAAAAGTGATGACTTTCTTGGTTTAAAATTGGTGTTGATATCAAAAGAATTTAATGGCACTTGCTATACAGTTTTGGGTGTTTGTTTTTTGGTAATATCCTTACCTGATATGCAGTGCCAATGGCAGAAACCGTCATGACCTCGTCATAGGGATGATGTCGATGGGTGGCCATTGCTCCCAGGTAGAAGATGCATTTGTACAGATACCACGTGTTTATCATCCAGCTGTTGATGCGCAGCAGGACTATAGTATCGAAATGGATTTCAAAGTTCTTTTCCAAGTCGATGATCCGCAGATTGATGCACTCCGGATTGTAAAGCTTGCACATGGACGCCGAATGGCGTTCCGATTTCTTGCTCAGAATGCCCATGAAGAACATGTACATGGCTGTCAGGGAGAAGTAGGCTTCCCGATGCAGCCACTCCTGCTCCTTGAGGATCACCTCGAAAGTGGCGCTCAGCTGTCTGAAAATCTTTGCCATTAATTGGGCTCCCTGATAGTCGACCGGCACCAGCTGAACCAAGATGTGAGTGGCCAGCGAGGTGAGCTGCTCCAACTGGGAGCCCGTCGTGGCCACCACTTTCCCCAGAGGCGAGTAGACCAGTCGGGCCTGTTCGGGGTTCTCGATCCACTTGGAAGCCACTATGCTCCTCACGTAGGCCTGGTTCCACTCGCCATGGTGCAACAAACGCGGCGCTGGCCCCATTAAATCCTCGATGTCACCCGTGTAGTAGGATTGGCTATATCTTACACTTTCTATATCCACTTGCAGATCTCGCTTTACACACGTGTGGGTGGCGTCGCAAATCGAAACCTGGACATAGCGTGTGGCTGGCAGAGTGAGTTTAATTCGTGAATAGGGAACATTAGTGGCGATCACACCCTTGGCCGTCACATAGCGATAGTTCATTGGGGGGTGGATCGCCACAAACCCTGTGCAGGAAATTTCAAATTCGGTGAAGGCCTCGAGTCCGAAATCGGGATCGATATGGCAAATGCCATTTTGAGGACCGTCATTTCGGCGCAGCTTGTGAAAGGCATCGCCGTACAGCGTGGCACTCAGCACCAGCCTCAATCGGATGGAAAGAACCGTCTCGTCGTATTTCAGGATCAGGTACTTTTGCTGCGATGCAAAGTGAGGCTGCGATCCATTGACCAGCACCCACCACTCGTATCGCAGTATCTTTGACGGGCAGTCCTCGCACCTGGGAATCAGGTGGACACTTTCGAGTGGAGAGTAAACACCTAGTCTGCAGTTGCGTCGGCAGATAATCTGAGGTGTGATGGTCCGGGTGGTGACTCCCCTCAACAGTTGGTGGGTGGTCCTACGATTTTGCGGGTCGATTTGCGAAATGACTGTTAAACTGTAGTCGTAGACGGCATTTTCTTTTAAAACATTAGCTGGGAACTTCATGCTGTGCTCTAGAAAATGTTATTATTGCTACGATAACTTAACATTTAGATAGAATACGAAAATAAATTAGCTTAAATGGATTGTGGTTATGAATCTGCCATAATTCTCTCCACAAGTTACTGCTGAAAAATTTTACTAAACTGCAATCTCAACTCTTGATGAATGCATCACCTTAAAACCCTACCAGTAACTAACTATATTTCAAATGGGGTCATTTCATACTTACTCTCTGACATATGAAATTGACAATAGCGATTGCCTGGATCGTCCAAGCTGCGACAATCCCAAAAGAAGTGCTTAGTATCATGGGCTTCGGTTTTTCTTAACCTGTCCTTGGTTCGTGACCCGTCGATCTCAATTGGTTTCCGAATATCAACCTTGCGTCGCATATTGCCTTTGATTCGGGGCTCAATTTGGGGGGTTCTGTATATCACATAGCACTAAAATTTCGAATAAAGACTGTTGGGTTATAAATTTTCCTTGACTTTGCCCACTCACACGAGCTAAAGTATAGACATTATTTATTTTGACTCTTCCGCGTAAAATAAAGATTTTTTTGCATCCGGATCGTATAGAAAGTCCAACTCGTACGGATTTATCTTCACCAAAAGGCCCGTAGATCTCGTTAAATGACAAATAAGATCTGAAATAAGAAAACGTTGTTCATCTCTTATAATATTTTATTCAGTAAGGAAAATTATTTCAGTATTTTAGATTGCAATTATATCTCACCGGTCTCGGTAATATCATAAAAATCCCATTCGATTTTTCCGTATTTGACCGTACGACAGCCCGTTCCGATATTTGCAAAGAACTCCAGTCGAGTCCATGGCGAATACTCTACCGGCTCTTCAGGATTTTTACAAAATTCTAAACCCAATGTTGGTACGCAACCCATGCCCGGTGATCTTTGCACTTCAAATCTCATATTGGTGTATCCCAATAGAACATCTCTTCTCTCCAATCCACTTACTTGGCAAATAAGATAATTGAGTCCCGTGGCATAAAAAGTAGCTTTACTGCGGTAATAATAACAACGATTATAGGGAACTCGGAAAACTTTTATGCCCCGCTTTTTCAATAGCTTCCGTAAATTATTTGTGTAGCTCCAACCAGAATATCTCATATCGACTGCAGTGATTATTTCATCAATTAGATAATCTTGGGAAGAAACCGTAATGTTGAGAACGAAAGTTTCGTCTCCCAGACTTGGCATCGTCAAAAAAATTGAATACGTTCGGCCATAAACTGGTTTTCTATGCATGTAAACTTGTAAGTTCAATGCAAACCAATTTCTTGGAAGCCAATTATAAGGATTAAAATACTTGGGGTTTTTTTTACGCCAAGGAGGCTCTTTCATGGAACTTTTGTTTTCCAAGTTTTTTACTCTTGCGTAATTGTAGTTAGGCATTGAAAAATTAGAATTGTCAAAAGTTTGGGAGCTGCGATTAGCCAATGTTGAAGAGTTGGGATACACGGAGGTTAATCTTTTATTATGGATGGGATACCAACCTTCTTCGACTTCCAGTTTTTTAGAATGATTTTGTTGTACTAACTCACTTGCTCTGATTTGGTTTTCAACGCTCTGATTTCCAACACTACGGTCTTCTAACACCAAAGAGTCAAAAGTTTTATTTAGGTCAGGATCCCATAAACTTTTAATTCGTTTCCTTTCGTCTTCCATTTTTTGGTAGGTATTGATGTGTTCTTTCTTGCTCAACTTTTTACTTATCCTAAATGTGTCATTGTACCCCTTAAAATTAGTAGGGTCGTAGCTTTTGTTTAGAACTGGATCCCATAAGCTCGCAATTCTTCTTAGTTCCTCTTCTACTGTCATTTTTGTATGATATTTTTGGTGCAATGCACCAGAACCAAGGCTGATGTTAGAGCTGTCTGGATAATTACTGTCAGCTTCCAGGAAGGATCCATCCAATAATGACATTAGTTGAAGTCCGTCGTTTTCCAGGATTAACATTAGCGATATTGATGTGGTCATGAGGCACAGGAACAATTGCATAGTTTTCACAATCTATTTGCTTTGTTGTCCCCATTTTGGATTTATTTTGACTCAAGAAGCAAAGTGTAAGAATTGTCTGATGTGGTCGTTAATTCAGCCAGACCTGTACTTCCATTTTTATAATTGCATAATACTTCAACTGGGAATGTGTGGTTGACAGGCGACATGACATTTTACCGCAGAAAAATTTCGTTTTTCTTGTCGGATTTTCTTTTTTTTTTTTAACTGCTCTCTTGTTTGGTTTTTCCTGTTGTTTTTGTTGTTGGTGTGTCGCTGCCTACATAATTGTTTTAATTAATTGCGAATCGCACATGCAAAAAGCAGAAAGTGCACTTCAAATGTGTGAAAAGGAACAAAAGCGTGAAAGGCTTTTCTGCACAGCTGGTAATTTATTGACCACAATAGCATCCAGAATCAGCGTCATCAACAAGAGCGATTACAGAACATGGCTTAACCCCAACTTCAATGCCGGGTCTCATCCCCATTTCCATTTGCACAATCCGTATAAATCAAATGAAATTAACTGAGAGGGAGCGACCGAGCGACGAGCAGCAAATAGAGTGTTGAATTTTTATAAACCACAAAAACAACGAGCAACGAGCATCGACAATAGACAATCATACTTTATTTACTATAAACTTCGCACATGCATAGTGTTTTTTATGCGGAATGGCCAGGATGCCAAGGCAAGACAGGGCGACAATTTCTTAAATTGTTCGAACAAATGAGAATGGAATAGAAGTAATGGAAGCCAAGGAGAAACCCATTTACAGGCGAGCGCACGTCGCATAAAAAATAAGGCAACGAAAAAAGTGGGTACAGATTTTGGTTGTCTTCCATGTTCACAAGATACTCTACTTTTTTTGAAGGGAAAAAAATTTTCTATTCAAGAATTTGTAAACAGGTAGTGGTACTTTCTTAAAAACTGAATTCCCTAAAAATGTTTAAATCTTCAAAAACTGGGAATTAATGTTTTTTTTACATAAATATTTTCAAACTAAAATATGTGAGTTTAACTATGTATTTTGACCTTAAATGAAGTTTTATAATATAATTCTGTAAAATTGTTTTAATCTTCAAAAACTAGAACGTAACGAGTTTTTTTACATAAGTATTTTCAAACTAAAATATATAAATGAAATTTTGCTGACCTTAAATTAAGTTTTAAATTATAATCCATTTTTTATAATTCTGTTATATATATTTAAATACCGGTTACTACTACCTTATATACCCCTGAAATAGAGTGTGAAAACTTTAACAGTAAAGAAAAAAGTCGAGGAACAAAAAAGAGGAAGAATGGAGCATTTTACGATTTAGCATGTGTGGACCAACTGTGAGTCGGGTGGTTTGGGGCCTGATGAACCGGCGGACGGTCTCACATGGAGGACCGCCAAGTTCAGCACTTTGGCGCGTCAAGTGCTTTTCATTTTCCGAGCACGTCGCCGCGTCATAAAACAAAAACGCATGAAGCGCAACGGCAAAGACGATGCGGGGCGTTCGGGCACGTTTAGCATATATATTTTCACACTTGCAATCATACTTTAAGCAGGAAAGTACACTCTCTCACACGCCAAACTTTTCACAGTAGAGATGGAAGCTCCTTAAAAAAAGAAATCCAAGAAATCAGAGATCTTAAAAACCATATGCACGGGAATAAAAAAATGGAAAGCTTTCAATCTGTTCAGTTGCGGTTGAATAGAGAAATGCATTCAAAATATTTTAAAGTTTAATCTTATGGAAATACCTATGGCATTTAATTTTGGATTGAGCTCTACATTTTGTAACCCCGCTTGAAACTTAAATGAAACTTGTTTTTAAAAAAAAGTGTTAAGATTAACACAAAAATGTTTATAAAATTTTCTGACGAGAACAAAATGAGTTGTTCTATAATCAGCATTATTCTTTTCATTGACCTTAAATTCTAAGTTTAAATAGTTTTTCCTTTGCCATCTCTAGCTGCTTCCACTCATAAAACTGATACCAAGTTGGGGTCGGGTCGGGACTTTCTCGTATCTTCATTTTCACTCGCTGCCAAAAGCCGTGCCATAAAAGTGCGTCAGGATTGTCGCCAAACTTTTGCTTTCTTTACATGCTCTTTTTTTTACCCTTGTTTGCTTTCGTGGGTGTGATGATAATAATTTCAAGAGGCATTCGACTGGGGCTCCAGCTTTTTTTTCGTTCTTCATGGGGGCTCACTTTGAGTGCGGCTTTGGATTGGCTTTAATTAAAATGTCGTAGACCCCGTGAGCGTGGATTAATTACCAAAAATAATAAAATTTCATAAATAATATACGTTTACGTATTGCTTCACAGCTTGATAAATTAATATTAATGCGAATGGTCTGGCAGGCAGGCTGAAAAGTGTCTCGCAGTCGTCTAATAGATGTCAGCCCTGTATCTGCTCATTTGCCGGCCTGACTTTATTAACTGAATCGACTTATCACTTGTCGCCGGAAAGGGTTCGGCTGGCTGAGGAATTAAAAGGATTTCACAGGATGTGCCATAATTTCTGACACTAATGACAGATAATGCTTTCGAAATGCTGTACATTAAATATTCGAAGTGCGAAATAGTTGCGACGCATGTCATTATATTCCCGCGGGCAAAGTTCAAAGCGCCATGCCGCTCATCATCTCCAATCTCGTTATTATCATCGCCGGATTGGCATTGAATGCTTAATGGATGCGAGAGCAGCGTGAAACCGTCCTGCAATCCTTTTTGTAGCCATTACCCTGCCAGCTCAACCACTCCATCCATCACTTGGCTGGAAAACTCTTTATGCTCACAAACTTTCAGCTGACGCTTTTCCGATGGCCAGAGGGAATGGATGGTGGATGGTGGCTTGGCTTTAGTTCGGTTTGTTTTGGCCCGGACTGGTTTCGGCGGTGACGTCTGTTTCGGCCACGTTGGCAACTTTGCGTGCGGTTTGTCTCCGGTCCAAAGTTCTCGGCCCCTGCGCCCTTTAATGATCCATGCCGCAAATGAATTGCAGTCCAGTTGCAATTGCTGCACTTGATTTGCGGTGCGACTTAATGGTTAACAATTATCTAGTGGCTTTCTGGGCGGGGGAGGCAGAAAGAGGAGGTCACTGTTCGTGAAGTTGACACTTAGTGTGCGGCAGTTGGCACATTGACCAGATTCAAGAAACGGTCTTCAAATGCTTCGAATTTAAGCAAACTTTTGGTTGAAGGCAATTTTCTCTAGGTTTCAACTTCTTGGAGTCAAAATTAATGGGTTGCTGGGAAAAAGTTTTACTTCCTCCATTAGATATTTGTTTTAAGAATTTAAGAAGTAAGTTAAATACCATACAAATCAGACAAATGGAAGTAAAAGCATTTTCATTAAAGAAACTTATTTCTTCTACAAATAAATACAAAGAAAGCTATTTTCGCTTACTAAGTAAGATTTTAGTATTGATATTATGTATACCCTTATCAGTTGAGCAAACATTCCTTGTTGACTGAACCACTGATTGACGGGCATCCTTTAGATATATCTGGGCCACTGGCACGCAACTAAACCACGAAAATGTGTCGGCGACAATTACAAGAATCCGTGACTGCCGCACACTGGCACTCAGCCACGCCCACTCCATCCGTAGCGCCCATCCGGAAAACCAACCGTGAGCCCATCCTCAGCCTGCACAATATCAATTATCGGGCTTCAAGTGTCGCTCAAGTGTCACGTCAAACACCAACACAAAATACGAGCAAAGAGCATCCAGCATCGAGAATCGAGCATCGAGAATCTAGCATCGAGAGACCCGCGAGCACACATGACAATCCAGTTTCCGCCCCCCGGAATCCTGGCTGCACTTTCCAACCCATCCTGGCCCCCGAACCCATCAGGATGTGCTCCTCTATCGCCCCACCAATATGTGTATGTAAGTAACGCTTTGCGCTCTTGACTTTGATTGATTACAAAAGCAATTGAGCATATCGTCACGCTGCATGAAAAAAAGAATAAAAAACTGAGCCAAACGAATTAACATAAATAAAGGAGGCCGAGAAACGAATTTTCATTGACAGCTTCCGGCAAAAGGAAAAGCGAAGCGCAATTAGAAAAATCCATCCCTCGCACTCCACCTTACAATTTAAATGAGCAGCGCCTTGTAATTTTCATTAGGGCCTGATTTTCGAAATCGCTTATAGCTGTGAGATTTCAATGGGAATTTCTCAGTCGTGCCATTAATTAGCACAATTGAAGCGGACCCAGCGACACCCTTTGAACGGCTAATGAAAATAAAATTTCAATTAGGCTTAATTGATAACTAATCAACAAAGGTCGACAGGCGTTGATTGATGGGTTTTCTTAAATTGTAGGAAAAAATATTTTGGCCGTATCTAATTAGGCTTTCAAACGTTTTGGACTATTAGGAAGCCGTAAACTTTTCGGTCATTTATTTGGTATTTAAAAGAAAAAAGTTTTGAAATGGCTCATTTATCTCAAAGATGACCGGTCTCGAAGTTCAAGTTTCGTTGACTTGCTGTTTGGTATTCTCTTTTAAAGATTTTTAAATAATAAAGTTGTATTGAATAAATTACTAATGGATGTTTTTGTGTTCTGTATTTCAATTGCAAAATCTATTGCACAAAAAGAACTTAAACAGGACACCTTAAAGCGTAACATTTTCTCATAAAATGCAATGTGGCGCACTTAGAGGACTGCTTTCGCATTAGGGACCGTATGGACATACGTGTGAGGTGGCAACTTGATGTGCGGCAGTTGCAGCAGTTTGCCTTTTGCTTTACTTTTAATTACCAACTCAAATTACACGCGCAGACAGACAAAGGCGGAACAGCTGTTTGGCTTGTACTTGGCAAGGAAATGGGACGGGACAGCCGGCGGAGAACCGACAGGATCGCAATCGCAAAACTTGCCGGAGTCCAAAGGCAACCGCAGAACTCGACTTGCTACAGACCGTAGACCGTCGTCTGTAGACCATCGTTTGCTGCACATTTCATTACAATGCCATTGTATTCAAATTCTATTATAAAGCGTAAAACACTGGGGAAGAGGCAGTCGTGGGGCGAAAAAAGGGGGTGGTGGCAGGACTTCATGTTTGCAGCACGTTTCCACTTTCGCACTTGGTAAACATAAGTTGGCCACGCACACACACACACATACTTACATTCACACATAACCAGGCGAAGAGATTGCGTCCCGTCCGCCACACTCCATAAAATAATTACCAACACCAGTGCAGAAACAGGAGCACTGGGCATACACTTGGCAAAAACATTCTTTTAATGTTTAATATATTTCCCAGAGAATTATTATAGCAATTTTGTTTTATTTTATGATAAAGCTTTAAACCACATTTTGCATATTATAACCCGCTAATATTGATTGAATTAAAAAAATTTGCTTCTGAATTTGAATTTTAAAGAAGTTTGTTTTCTATATTTGTCGAGTTCTTAACTAAAAAATTATGTTTTTTTTTTAAGTGCACAAAATGGTTGCCGAAAAAGGGGAGTGCTGCAAGGAAGGAGGTGAATGAAACCGGAAGACTTCCATTACAATTGCCGCGCACCCAGCTTGGAAAATTGAAAAGAATAGAGCGAGATGGAGAGTCATAAAGAGAGAGAGAGAAAGAGATAGTCGGAGAACACCACGAAAGGAACAACGGTTACATTTAGAACCGATGGGTTTAACCCAATGCTGTCTAGGTAGCCAATTAAAACTGTGTAAGCCCGTCTTATTTTAGGTGCATTAAATTGGATTTTTAGTTACTATTTCAGTTAGAATTTAAAATCAAGCAAAACAATATTGTAAAGCATAACATAACCTTTCCTTTGCAGATTTTTGAAAGTAAACTTTGAAAATATTCCACTGCCAGGCACGCGCGTATTGATAGTAATAGCAGACTTTTTAATCGTGTATGTTTAAGTACACATTTGTTATCAGCGGATTGAGTTGTCTCGTCGCTGTAAAATAAAACTTATCGCAGCTTGGGTTTTGGGACTGCCACAAGTAATTATGGTTCTTATCGGAATACATATTTGTACGGCTTTGCAAACACATCCTATGGGTGATAAATATTATTTGGGCAGATAAATAATATTACAGCGGCGATGATTGGGAAATACCTTAAGTACAAAACTTATTATAAATGTTTTGACAAAACAAACAATATGTTAGATGATTTCTAAATTTCCCATTATATGGATGTAAAAGAAATTCAAAACAAAAGAAATACAAATTCAATAAGCTAAAATAAAAACAGAACTTTTTTTTTTTTGTACTTTAATAAAAACGTGTTGAGTGTCTTAAACATACATTATGACAACAGGAAAATGTTTATTTTTGACAAAAAGGGGATCGATTTCTTTAATCAGATTAAGATGCCAGTACGAATACACGATGAGAAAAATGTCATTATTTAAACTTGGTTTTTAGAAATTCAAAAACCCATTGTCCGTTGTGTTTTTCGATCAGTTTTTCAGTGCATGCACTCCGGACTAAGTGGCCGCAAGGATCAACAATTACGGGAGCAATGGGCCACCGGAACATTTGCTGCGATGGCTGCCAAAGGTGGGACTTCCGCGGTCGCCGCTTCCGCTGCCTGCGTTGCGTGAACTATGACCTCTGCGGCGAATGCTACGATCAGCGGGTGGAGACCGAGGAGCATCGGTTTGGCCATCCCATGCAGCTGATCCTCGACCGGGACGATCCGCAAGCTCTGCTGCTTGGCGGCGATTTTCCAGAGCTGGTCCACCTGGTCAATTGCTTCACCTGCCCTTATTGCGGCCAATTTGGATACACGGCCAAGCGGTTTATTCAGCATGTTTGTGCCCAACATCGCTTGGCCGAAGCCTATGTGGTGTGTCCCATGTGCGTTTGCCTGCCGGACATCGAGTTGGTGGCCATTCGGAACCTGTCGCGCCATCTCCTGCTCAACCACATCGATCTTGCCAACCAATTCGAGCCGGAAACGCCGCCACTCCGAAGAATTTTTACCAGGCGACGCCCTCAACCGCAGCAGCAAGGTCAGCAGCCAGTGCGTCCTTCAAGGAGATACGATTTGGTCCTCCATGTGCCGACAGTCCCATGGAACTCAGATCGCCAGATGCCCCCCAACCGGGGTTTAGCAGAGGAGACCAACAGTCAGGAGTCCCGGGCTCCCAAGAATATTGTTGTAGAACTGCCCAAAAAGCAACCGGAACGGTTTCTCTTGAGGAAGTTGATCGATCAGCAGGAGCAGCGGTGGCAGGAAATGGAAAAAACCGAAACAGAAAGGCGGCATCACGGCCTCTTTGTCGAACATCTGTTGATTTCCATGCTCTGCTGCGAGGATCTCCAGCTACCGGAAGCGGAAACAGAGGCAGCAAACTGCGGAAGTAAACGGGAAGAGCGAGAAAATCAGCACGGCCTTTCCAAGGTCATGTCGCTGATGTCCTTGCCATGGACCAGAGCCTGGCAGGCCACCACTAAGCTGAGAGTTTCGGAGGGGGAGGGAAAGGTCCCCACCACCAGCAATGAGGAGATCGATCTGGAAGACGGGCGGAAAAAGCTGGTGGAACCAAGGAAATCGGCGGCGGAGGAGGCCGTTGATTAGCTACATCCTGAGTGACCAAATATTCTTTATGAATTTAGTTTTTTGTTCTCACTTTCCAAGCACGTTATTCCCAATTTGTGGTTTTGTTTATATATTTTAATACAAAAAACTACTAAATTTTTGTGAAAATTTGGAAAACATTTACACTGTTATAAAAAGTTTTACACCGGTAATACAACTTAAGTTGCTTGAATATTTGGAAGTTTGTAAATTTAAACAAAAAATTCGTTTCAATAACAATTCTACACAGCCTTCGGTTGAGAGTAGCTATTTTTAGTTTTTGTTTTTTCCTGTCCTACGGGTTAATGAAAACTTTAAAAACTATTTCTTACTCTTTGTAAACTGTTTCATACTGAGTTCCAAAATATCAGATATCGTTGTGATAATTAAAGAACTCCTCATTTTATAAGGACGTTTTTCGTTGAAAATGAAAAAATTAAATTCAGTTTCATAAAAATACCATAGTTTTATTTGTTAATTTTTTTTCTTTTAAGGTGTTGGTCAGATTGTGTTTTTAGAAGGGAAGGTTTTTACCAGCCTCCAAATCCACCTTGCTGTTGCTGCTGCTGCTGATCACCGAATCCACCTCCGAATCCGCCGCCAAATCCACCTTGCTGTTGCTGCTGCTGCTGATCACCGAATCCACCTCCGAATCCGCCGCCAAATCCACCTTGCTGTTGCTGCTGCTGTTGGTCACCGAATCCACCACCGAATCCGCCTCCAAATCCGCCTTGCTGCTGCTGCTGCTGGTCACCCGAATCCACCACCCCATTGGGGCTTGGCGAACGCCACGGCGAATAGGGCAAAGAAAAGAATCTGTGACAAAAATTAGAAAATTGTTAAGGTCACTTTCGTTACAAAATATGTGTAAGAACCTACCAAAAATTTCATGGTGCTGTTGCTTCGGCAGATCTTTCTGGTATGATAGATACTTTTGGGCTCCTTGGTTCTTTTATACTCTCCGGCAATCAGTTTGTGTCGTCACAAGCCGAACTATTATCAACGAGCAGACAGACCCAAGCGCAGGCTATTTATTTTGACCTTAAAACCCAAAATAAACAAAAAAAAAAAAAAAAACAAATTTCCTAATGTCTGGGATTTCGTGTTTGAGCGCTGATTAGATGTCCGAGTACAGCAGGGAAACCCTTCGAAATCCAGCCTAATCTCGTATCAGCCGTTTTGAGAGATTAAACAGTTTAGGAGGAGACTTAGCAATCCACCAGCAATAGAACTAAGGTTCTGTTATATATACACGCACTTAAAACGTGTTTATTGAATTCGGCTACGCTAAAATGCAAAAAAAAAAATAATGATAATATATTATTTAAAAATAACAATTTTTATACCCCACCATTAAAAAAAAGTAAGGTAAGATTTTAATAAATAAATATAGAAAAAAAATAATAATTTTATATTTATAATTATAATCATTCATTCGTTCATTATAATAATTATAATTTAAAATACACAATTATAAAAATAATCTTTAAGCAATTAAATAATGTTGTCCGTAACAAGAATGTAAAAAATCTTTTGACTTTAATAATATACACAAGCAGCCTAAGAAAATGCTTTTAAACTAGTACGTCTAAACACTTAGACGCCAAAAACTATACTACAAAAATTATTACGTTTAATCACAATACTTTTAATCAGGGCTTAGCCAATCAGCTTTGAAAGAAGCAAAACAACTAAAAAAATAAAGATCAGGGTAAAGGTCCCTCAGCTCCGACCTCAATTTAGATTTGTCAATGTGTCGCTTAATTTTTGTCGTCTCACGGCAGACGATTAAACAAATATGACAATCAAATTCTGCTTGGGGTATATAGATTTCGATTGGAACTAATAGGCGAAAACGAAAACAAAATGAATTAATTACTTTGTTTTGGTGATCCCCTCTGAAAATCGTCGCCTGCTTGCTATATAAGTCCAGTTGCTTAGCTTTGAACAAATTAGATCGTTTTCAACAGAGTAAACAATCAATCAACCAAAATGAAATTCTTCGTAAGTGTTTTAAAATATTGAGAAGTATTTTGAAAGGAACCTCATAGATTGTTTTCACATTTTGTAGATTGTTTTCTTCGCTTTGATCGCCGTGGTCTTGGCCGGTGGTTATGGTGGCAACCAAGGACATGGCCAAGGAGGACATGGCCAGCAAGGCTTTGGACAGGGAGGACACGGCCAGCAAGGCTTTGGACAGGGTGGACATGGCCAGCAAGGATTCGGTCAGGGAGGACATGGCCAGCAAGGTTTCGGTCAGGGAGGACATGGCCAGCAAGGTTTCGGTCAGGGAGGACATGGCCAGCAAGGATTTGGACAGGGAGGTCACGGCCAGCAAGGACACGGCGGACGTTACTAAATGGATCGATTTAATAAAAGCTTTTGAAAACTACTTCAGCCGATTTTTTCCTTCTCAATATTTTCAAACAAGTACGATTTCAGATTAATTAGTTCTACGAAATGGTCTTTTAAGATTGGAAGTGTTCAATGGCGGAGCCTGTTTATTTTATATACAACATATAAAGACTCTTATTATCAGCGCATCAATATATAGTATCAAGCAATATGTGTATAAATACAATCTGTTTGCGTATAGCAATGTACATTTGTAACTACAACTGAAATGAAATTGCTAGTAAGTAAATAGCTCCCGTAAAATAATGAATTTTAAAAATTATAATACAACTTTTCACAGCAAGCGTTTATTGTAACTTTGGCAATTACAATAGCCTACAGCCGGAGACCTCAAGATGAACTGTACGAGGGAAGCGGTGGAGGATCTTATGAAGAAGGTGTGTTTATTGGAACAAACGGGCGACCAAGTCACGAGGGACACCACCATCCTAATGGCGGATATGGAGGCTGGCAAAATCCTGGCTATTGGAACTATCCCGGTACGTGGCAATATCCCAGCGGTTGGAACAATCCTGGACGTTGGCCGTACCCCGTTGCCGAATATCCTAGGCCAGGAGTTCCAAGTGGCGGCTCTCATACAGATGGATATGGAAACGGTTTGGATTGTGTTTATAATAAATATTTAATCGTTATTAATAAATATACTGTTATCTTATTTAACGGATTTCAAAGAGAAATAACGCTTTTTTTCATAAGTGAAATGCTTTTACGAAAATGTCTTGGCTTGTAAAACAGAAATACGTGGCGTCACCATATATTATTTTTTTCCAGACCAATCCTATTTATTGAGCTTTATTTTATATATTCTTTGTAGAATCGTTTTGCTTTTAAGAGTCAAAGCATCATTCAGAATGAGATTATTGGTTGGTAGACAGCAATAATTTGAATTCCATTTAAGCACCAATTTACTTTTTTAAATTTAAAATTAAATTTACTTTTGTAGATTATCATACTTTGTGTCTTGTCCGATTCTGCCAAAAATGAAGGAACATGGAGAATAAATAGAGGACAAGCTGTTGAAGGATCTTATCTCCGGGGTGCGGTGCCTAGAAATCGGGGTTATTCCCTACCTGTAGGAGGTCAATCAATGCCCATTTCCGCACCTGGTAGAGCTCTACCAATTGCCTACGTTGGAAAAGTATTAGCAACTGTAAAGCCGCAAAATGTACCACTGCCTTATTCAGAAAACGTCGAACCGATTTCCGCTTCTAACAGTGAATGCTCCGAATTGATTTCTGTTCGCGGAGGAACTCTTCTAATTCCGAGCCATGCAGGCGTTCTACCGATTCCCGGCAGCAAAGGTGTGCTAATGATCCCCGGCTGTATAAGTTTAGCCAACTTTCAGAGCCAAGAAAAACAAAGTGAGGCTCATGGACACATTTTAACTGATGGTACACAACAAGGTGAAAACAACTCGGTAAACATTAGACCTGGTCAAAATAAATACGAAATCATCGACTTAAAGAATTCTTGATATTTTTTGAAGTCTATTTAAAATAAAATTGCTCTAGGGCACAGTAATGAATAATCTGCATTTTTAATATATAAACATAATCAATTTTCAGGAACAAATAAGAGATAAGAACAATTGCTCATATTTCAGGCGAGCATATAAAAAAAACATTTGTCACCATATTTTTATAACAATATTTATCTAGGCATTTCACTGCTTTCTTTATATAATATTCTCGTATATAGCTATAAAAACATAGTCTTATCAGTGTTCTGCTTTAAAAGGGAAGCGCTAAAATAATATCACGTATTAGCAAAATGAAATTATTGGTGAGTAGTCAAGAGAGGCAAAATAATCTTTGAAAAAATATTTACTTGTTTACTTATAGGTTGCATATATAGCGCTGTGGCTCATCGGTTTTTCCACAGCCAAAGAATCCGGGAACTATAAGTTCACCTACCAGGTATCCTGTTCCAGAAAATTTGGAGAAAGAGTTTGCACTTTAAGCAGATGCACAACTTCCAATGGAATTACTACTTGCTCCCCAGCAGCAGAAGACCAAAGCCCAAGTTCCGGAGGAACTAAGCCCGCCACGTGGCAGCCAATTGAAAGTCGACATTATAAAAACGACAATAACTTTCGTCTCCACACAACTCCTACGAAAGACGGTCCTTACAATATTCCCGACTTTGATTCTCCATGATGTGGTTTATCAAATAAAGTATCTTTTCGCTTACAAGTTGTAGTTCCAATATGGGGAGGCTTTCAATTAAATCGAAGTGCAACTGATAATCTTATCAGGCCTTTTTTCAAAGAAAGAAAAACGTAGCTTATAGGTTGACCATAATATTCAAATACACTATAAAAACTCATTTCTACAGTGACAATATGAATATCAGCTTTTAAAGTAATTGATACTCTAAAATACTTTTTAAGCCTTTGTTTATTAAAATTAGCAAAATTGCGTGAACACCTTTTTTTAAACTAAAATTTTAAGTGGTAAGAGTATTGAAAGCTAGGCGCATGATTGCACCACATTATGGTATAAAAAGCAAGTGAGAAACGATCTTATGCTTAAAGTAAAATGAAATTACTGGTGAGCAGTTACTAAATTAAGTCACTTGTAATAAGTATTGAAAACTACATATATTTGCAGTTTTTGTTAGTTACTCTGTTGATCGTGGATTTTGGAGTGACACAATGGCATTACCAATGGCAACAGAGCGTGGGCAATGCACATTCTTCCCGTACGTCTTGTGATTGGAATACGGGAACATATAAATGCCTCAAGGAAAGTTGTACACATTTTTACGATGGTAGAAAAGAATGTACGACAAGCGAAGTTCCCCCGTTTGGCGGTCATTCATCCCGGACTCATTGCTTTATTAGGAACGGAATAAGAACCTGCACTTATCAACGCTGCTCATTTGTCAATGGCATACAGCAGTGCATCTCAAGCGATGGATTCCCGAACGGTGGATCGACTGAAAATGGGGACCAACTCCATAAAAACATATTTACAACTGTTAGCCCTATCCAAAATAGCGATATTACCCATAATGACTTTCCTGGGCGACTCAACTGATTGCATTTAAATATTTTTTTGTTTTGCATAAAGGGTAACTAATGAAAAGAGTTGGATTTTAGACGGCTTTAATAAAACAAACGGGAAACTATCAATTCAATTCAAAGAATTTCGTTAAATTACATCAATTATATATTATTTGAAATAACGTTTTTTAAGAAAATTTTAGTAGGCGGTTTCTAAGAAAGTTGATTGATATGATGTTTTTAATATTTTTAAGGAAAAAAGGTTAATATTTAAAATGACAATATAAAAATTTAACAGTTTTACACGAAGTTGACAAGAAATAAGGTAATATACTTTATTAAGTCATATGCCAACATTTAGTTTTGAATTTAGCTCAAAAAAGGCAAACTATGGTATTTTTTGAATATAATCAATTTTCGATTAAAAACACAATATGAACGAATTTCCTTTCGTAATAAATTTTTTAAGTGATTTTTGTATGACGTTCAATCCATGATTAGTACGTCTAATTAGTTTACAGCTCCCGGCGGCGGTGGAGGCTGACCGGCGCACCATGGGCTGCAGGACCTTTCCTCGGGTTTACTTCTCTCTGGGATCGCCAAAACGCCCGAGAGTAGAAGCGATAGGAAAATCAGCTGTAGAGAAGTATTGTTAGGCACAAGACTCGGGTCACAATATTAAGATTAACATAATGTAGCTCTGAGCAAACTTACGCAGCACTTAAAATCCATTGTCGCCAAGAACGATGTAATTATGAGTCCGCTCGGAATCTGTTCTACTTTATATAGCAATTCGTCGGGTCCCCAAAATTTTATTTGTCCAATTGAGCAACACAAAAAACAACAAACAAAAACAAAAGTGACGTTATCAAATTTTGTTATGCTGATTAAAGTGTAAAAATGTTTTTAAGGTTGCGAAAGTATGTATAAGCAAGTGGGGCTGTGACTTAAGTAAAATATGTAAATGGAAGATTATAAATAAAATGAACATATAAAGCAATTGATATAATAAATGCAGTTAAATCACGTACGTATATTTTCTTTCAAATAACGTTTCATAGGAAAATTATAGCAAGGGCTTCCAAGAATGTTTATTGATATGCAGTTTTTAATACTCTTAAGAAAATTAGTTGTATTTTAATAACGTCAGTCAAAAAACTTAGAAATTTTATACAACATTTCTTAAAAATGTATAACGTAAATAAATATTGGAGGAACATGCCACCAATATTTAGATCATTTACCACTTTTATTTATTTTAATATTTATGAGGTCTGGAGTTATGTTTTGTGTTGTTAGGGTATTAAACTTTTGATGTAAGATTCCTACCAAATACGCTATATAAAGGAATGTTGGCAACTATGATCTCATGCCATTTGCATTATGCAGTTTATAGTAAGTGAAAATAAAAATTTTAGAAATACTATTTAATATACTAGTATATTTGAGTAAAACTGAATTTCCAACTGCAGGTTGTTCTCTTCACTCTTTTGGTCGCCACTTGTGCTGTGACCAATCAAAATTGGCGTTGGCGTATAGGCACCTCATCTTCATATAGGTATTACTGTGACTGGATTCAAGGAAAATACAAATGCACCCACATCCGTTGCACATATTCATCTGAAGGCAGAACAAATTGCACTACAAGCGTTGAGACACCAAACATTGAAGCAGTTGGAGCAGCAACCTCTTATAGTTATTCCTGCAACTGGAGCACAGGAAAAAATAAAAAATGCACATACACTCGATGCACACAACTTATCGGTGCCAAAAAAAATTGCACTACCAGCGATAAGCCTCAAAATTCCGGAGGATTCCATAGAAGCAGCTTTGCTTACGAATTATCTAATGAATCCACAAACAACAAAAAATTAAGCTCAGGCGCCAAACGATTAAAAACAAGTGAACAATTCTGAACTTTCTTAAAAAATGGTTAACAAGGCATTTCAAAATATATTTTTTAGCAATCAGTAAAGAAAATTGTGAGGTAATATATGTACTTCATTTAATCACCTGCCAACACTTAGTTTTTAATTTGCTAAGAACAGACTACCGTTTTATATAATATAATGCACGTCCAATTGAAAACAAAAAATACGAGAATTTCCTAAAAATCTTATCAATTTCTTGGGGCGAGGCCTAATTCCTTCCAGAAACAATGTAAATATTCCAAATCCCATCTTCCAAATGGTTGAGGTTTTAAAAAAATGGCAAATAACTTTATTTGTTGATTAAGTTGACGTGGTAAGAATGCTAAACGTATTACACAATATTCAAAACATAATTACAGTTTTTGAAATTTGTCAATTTTTTTTTTTTTATCAATGCATGATACGTCCAACTAGTTTATATATCCCGGCGGTGCAGGTTCATTGTCGCAAAATGGTTCCCATGGTTCGCACTTGGTTCTCCTTTTTGGGAATGCCAAAACGCCCGAGAGTAGAAGCGATAAGAAAATCAGCTGTAGAGAAAGATTGTTTGGTCCAAAACTCGGGTCACGACATTAAGATTAACACATTGTTGCTCTGAGCAAACTTACGCTGATCTTAAAATTCATTGTCGCCAAGAACGATGTTATTATGAGTCCGCTCGGAATCTGTACTACTTTATATAGCAATTCGAAGCGTAACCGAAAGATTTTGGCCATTGAGAAAAAAATGTGTAGTTAACCAATTTTGCCATGCTGATTAATGTGTAAAATTGAGGCCAACATATAACACATTTTTTAATGCGCTAAATTTGTTATGTCAATATGACGGTCTTAATAATTTTTTTTAAGTGCTGTTTAGTATATAAAACCTATTTAAGTGTACAATAATTTAAAACTTACAAAGAGTTTTCCTGGGTTTTTTATATATTTTCTTAGACATGCAAATAGTAATTCTTGCTGATCATGTTCATTGATACATTGAAACTGATTAGATATTAGATTATTGAAAAATAATTGTAAGAGGCAAAAAACATTTTTTTAAACCACTTTCATTCCAGTAAAAATACACCACTGGCATTGCGTAAATCAAAACTGTGGAAAAGCAAACCGGAAATTTATTTGAGTGGGTGTTGGGAGCAATGTGCAAGTGGAGGGTAAATAAAGCTTGAAATGCTTAAGTGGCATTTTCAGGTGTCTTCGAATTTTGCACTGGCAGGAGGTTAAGGATGCAGTCAAGTGCAAAAGACCAACCGGCCAGGTCTATTTCGGCCACCCAAGCACCACTGGGTCAGCAGTTGTTGTATCTGGAAACTTCCGGTTCGTCACTCCTATTTAACGCTGTGGTTCAGAGCTTCGAGTGGAGGAGGATGTAGAAACAATGTGCAGTCATTGAGCGCAAATGTGCCAAATAATGACTTGCAGGCGAGCGAGTGCAATTTATATGATAAGCAACAAAAATAAATGGCAAGCAATTCATTTTACTTAAATGCCGTGCAGTTCAACAACAACTGCCGAGTTGGCAGCTGTATTTTACCCCTTTTCCAGGTGAATGTGTGCGTATGTGGAGGGAAAATAGTCGGTTCACTTGTGCACACATAGTATATATCATTTTAATTTTTCTGCTGCGTTTGCCGGGCTTGATTTACTTGGGAGCTGCCTAATGAAGATAGTGGGTGCAGTAACAAATGAAAATCATCGATCGATTAGACTTAGCGATTTTAGGAAACCAATAGAAAACCTTTAAGGGTTTTCTTCTATAATCGAAATTCACTAAAATATAAGCTATTCGTAAGAGAATAACAAATGTCTCGATATTTTTAAGCCAGTGAATATACACCTTATTCTACTTGATTGTTTACCCTTATCAATTTTTAAACAACTCAGTGCCTCCGAATGCGTGTGAAAACGACAGCTACGCGGAAAACTGACATCTTTTGTGCTTGTCATTTCCCTTTTTGGTTTCAGGTGCAAAAGCTGCCAAATTTTCTCAAACCCCTCTCTGTGCTCGGAAAAACCTGGGTTTTCACTCTCGTGTTGCTAATGAGTCGACTGCGACAGCTAATTGGCTGAGACTTAGGCTTCAAACGAAATTGATGGAAAATTCCAGCTTTGGCCCCAAAATGCCACTATTTCAGCAGCTTAAAGAGCTTGTTACAGTTTGGGCTGTCACAAGCGTGGCAAGTGATGGGCTTAGATATTTTTTGCTTAATTTATTGCATGCAATAAACATGATGCGAGTGCGAAGAAAAGTAGCTACGTGAATGGCAGTGTTGGGAAAACGAGCAGCAGCGGCGGCAATGGGCTATGCTGACAACAAGGACACATCCATTGGCCCACTGTGCTCGTATTCATATGCAAAATTAATTCTGGCTAGGGACTCCAGATGGGGACTTCGGCTATGGAAAGTTTGAGCCTCGACCAGGCCAGGTGTGACGTCATTCAGCGACATGGCAGCGGACACACAAAGGACACCAAGAACGGTAGGATGTTGGTCCACGGGGAGCTCGCAAGGACCCTCGTTGCATGCTCAAATTTGATTCCCTTACCAAGAAATTTAAAAAACAAACTAAATATTCGAATTAACTTAGCTTGTCCCACAAAGAAAAAAATGGTAAAATTAGAACAGGAGTATAATCATTAAAAATGTAAAATATAAAATGATTTGTATATAGGGAATTGTGGATAAAGAATTCCAAAAGAATTTAACCCATTTCGGAAAAATAAAAAGTTAATAATAATTTCTATCTTATTTTTATATACAGTATCATTAGCTAATTTGATTTTCGGTAATCTAACAATGGGAAAATACAAATAAGTTGAAACAGCTTTGTTTATTTTTTTAAGGTCGAGATAATTATTGAATAAATGATCTGAAGAAAACTAATAAATAATTCATATTTTCACTACACAGAATAGTGGATGGTCCCGTTCTGGTGGAAAGATCGCCCTGCAACAGCGGAGTGGAGTGCAGCACATCCGTTGACCCGACAGCTATAGCTGAGGTAACCTGTCCCATCATCACTCTTCGCCTCGCCGCCCCATCTCTCTTGTTTGCGCCTCCCGTTTTCGCTCGGTGTATGTGCTGCGTCCTTCATTGTTGAAAGCTGAACCTTGGGAGCAATCAGTGGATTATACGCTGCTTTACAAAAGCGGGCGACGCGTCGCCATCCCAGCAGACCTCTGACCTGACCCCGCCGTCCCTCCAGATGCATTCAACACTTTTTTCTGCCCACCCCCCAACCCCCCAACCCCCCAACCCCCCACACTCATTGTTCGAGTTAAGAGTTGGGCCTGTGTGGGCTGGAACATAAATTTAACTGCGAGCTCATGGAGCCGTGTGACAAGGCCGCAGGAATTCAAAACAAAAGTTGCAACAAATACCGAACACGCCATAAAGACAACAACAGCAGCAAATACATAAACATAAATTGCAGGCTTGGCCACTCCCATTTGTGTTTGTGTTGGCCCTTTCTGTCTCTGGCAAGCAGAAAGCAAAAAGAATGACAGGAAACCGGATGTGAGTGCATGCCTTTTGTGCATGCAACGAATTATTCAGTTGACACACAGGATGTGTGCTTTGCTGTTCATGTTGTTGCCACTGCCGCAGTTGTTGGTTTCTGCTGGCTGTTGGTTTGTTTGCCCGCTTTCCTCAGAGGATCTGGGCCCGGATCCTAGCCCAGTTTTCTCTGGACTTTTGGTTAATTTCGTAACCATGACAATTGGTGAAAAATTAACACACCCCCACACCCAGAAGTTGGTGAACCCAAGCGCAGAGATTTGGCTGGCAAACATGCCACAGAGATTTTTAAATATATTTAGGTTTAGTTTACAACTACTTTTGAGTACGAAACTTAATAATCCCTAATGGATTTCTTTGGTCTAGTCCATTTATCATAATTGCTACATACTATTTTATTTTATTATTATCGTGCATTAGAGTATTTTAAGTTTAAGAAAAGCTACACATATTAATTAAAAAAATGTTTTTTAAAGCTTCTATATGACTATACCTACTTATAAAAAAATTATTCCGATACTTAAATTGACCTTGGCACGCTGGCATGTGTATGAGAGCCATTTTAAAGCAATTTTTTCATTTTATGTGGACAAAACCCATAAATAATAAAGGAAACCCCGAGCAAAGTGAAAGGTCGATGCCAAAAAAAAGAGGGATGGTTGGATGCGATGAAAAAGAAGAGTAATCAAAAAGTGCGTGCTAACTAAATGGTTATTGCTTTCAAATGTCACGTATCATTATCATAATTTTTTCGCTTGACATTTTTAAGTAGCTGCCATAAATGTTTATAACTTCTGCACACAGAAAGTGTTTCTATTAACTTGGACCAGGATCCCACAGCCTCCTGCTCCCTCTGGGCTCCATAACATTATTGGACCCGAGGGACGAGTGGCCCAACAGGAACAGGAACGGCAAGGACGAAGTCTTCAGGCCACACACGTACATAGGCACCTTGACATTCATAATTCATAATTTATGACTGCATCTAAACGAGGGCCTTTTTCCCGAATTTATTATAATTCAACTGCTGAAAGGTGACAGATAGAAGGATAATTTTGGTGTACCAGAAGCGGCTGATTAAAACCATTTCAATTATTTATAATTATTAATTCACGTTCTTGGAACAAAAACGCAGTTTTGAAGTTTCAAAGCAGATACAATGAAAAGTATTTTACATTTATCAGCTTTATTTATATTTGTATTTCAGTCTCATGGAACTCATAGATTCCGCATAATTTTAGTACTATATTTAAAATACGCAAGCAATTTGCATAATTTTATTCATACAATTTGAAACGGGCAGCCAACAATGTGTCTAGACAAATGTTTCCATTTATGAAATTGTTATTTTATGCAATATGCCTGTGATTAGTTCGCATATGGATGAATTGGCGGTATATGGGCACCAGATAAATGCAAATTCGTAATGTGCCAGCCGCAAATCGAATCAGCTTTATAGAAATTAGAGAATGTACAAAAAAGATGATGATGGGAAACTTGCCCTACAAACATTAAAAACTAATCAAACTTTTAAATACACTTCAACCGCAGCCGACTTAAGATTGAGATATTGCAGCGGAAAAGGCGTCGGGAAAAGCGGAGGACGTCCAGAACAATTCGACAGGCGTCTTAAGAGGCATCGGCATCGGCATCGGCATCAGCATCGACTTTGATTTGTTGCCTCGGTCGCGTCTCATCTCATCTTTCTTGGCCCCTCCCCGCCCGGACCATCTCCTTTTTGGCCTTAACTTTAGCCGGACTTTTGCCTTGTTGTCAACGTCAACAGAAATTGATTGCTCACCAAGAACACCAGCACCAGTCTGCCCGCTTTTTATACCCTATTGGACTGCCTCTGTGGCATTTTCATTTCATTCAGAGTTGAGTTTACTTTGCGCTAAAACTTTTACCCAGAGAGCTTCGCAGTCCCCGTCCCTCGTGCTCCAGTGAATTATCCTGAGCCAGCGGACCAAGGAAGCCTACTCCCCGTCCAAAAACTTTGACACAGTTTAGGAGCCAAAAGTTTAATGGAATTTGTCTATGGAATCGTCTTTGCCCCCCGGCTTTCCGTACCCCCAACTCATCGCAGACCAACCCGCACGCACTCCTTTTGCCGCGCTCCGCCAAAATAAATAAAACAGCATTCAACTTGTTTTTAAAGCAATTAAAAATTCTTTAAGACTGCGGAACACTTTTGCCACTTCGTCCTGAGCCACTACAAGACTGCTTCCTGCCACGGAGGCCAAGGAATTTGCGATCGCGCCGCGGGCTAAAAGGAAGCTAAAGTGGTCGAGGGGGATGCAGAGGGATAAAAGTCCCTGGAACTGTAAACAAATGCGGAATCAACTCAAGTTTTTAATTTTAAATGATTTATATATTTTTGATTTATTTTGAGCTCCGAGTGCCATTACTTTCGAACGGAATTCAAGCATTGCTGAGGATTCATTATACGAGAACAAGTTCACCAACGCATTTTATTTAGTTTTATAAAATAAGTATATAGAATAGCCCCTATAAAATGATCTACATTTTTAGTTCGTTGCTAAAACTAATTCTTACATTGTTTTTTTTAAAAGTACTCTGATATCCACAATAACAATTAAATAGAGTTCCATGGGAAATGTAAATCTAATTTAATTAACTAGCGTTTTCTGGGGTTTCCTTGTTGGCTCTCCATTTTTATATTGCAAGGTTCCACACGGCGTATGAACAATGCGGTTGGTTTATTGCTTACGCTCCCACAGAGAAAGCATAAAACACACACGAACATACAAACACCCGGCATCATTATCCACACTAACGCCTAGCCTTACACACACAATCACAGAAGTGTATGGGGAGAAAGTAGGTTCGGAGAAAACTGGTCTTAACTACTTTCTGCACGTCTGCAGATAAAATCGATAAATTCCTTTTCGTAAAACGAATTAGGAAACTAATTGACTTGGATTTCGCTTAAAGAATCTCACA